TATAATAATAATAAATAATAATATATATATATAATATATATATATATATATATATATATATATATATATATATATATATATTACAATGGAATCCGCCAATGTCCCCACGGTAACGTCTCCGTCGAATCCGGTACGATGTATCGTTTGTCGTACGGACTCAGAGCGATTTTCAATTCGGACACTGTGTATACTTGGTGTAGCTTGGATCTTATACATGACTGGTGACGAGTCATTTTCGATCTCTTCATTCAAGCACCGCGTATAATCGTTGAACATTATTGTTCGCGTTACGACGTTATTCTTTACATCTTTCGCCTTTTTAATGTCTTTTCTGCTGTCCACCCTCACCGCGTACATCTTCGCTCTGAGTCCGACGAATTCCGTCATTATCGCATCGTTATTCTCATCCTTTATTAGACCGAGTACTTTTTTATTCGCGAGAGGCATCCCGTACGCGTTGTCCGGTTGATAATCATTCGTATCGAATCTAGCGATATCGCGTTTCATCGCCTCGTACACATCATCGCACTCGATGTGGTATACGAGACTGTCCGTGTCGGTGTACATGATTTTACATTTCTCGCGATACAGCGATGACATGTATTCGTGGAGAAATTCGTACAAGCAGATTTTCGATATGTCGAGTATACACATACATACACATACGTAAATCGGCTTGTTGAATTTTACCTCGAGTTTACGCAGTTCGACGGATTAAGTTTTCCGCAAAGACGCTGCGGCTGTGGAAATTTGGTTTCGCGATCATTGCTTCCGCGCCATACCGTCTGTCCCATTTGGTCAAAAGTTTAACGTCGACGTGATTGCGCACATTTTCCATTGTTTTACCGAATATCGCGTTGTTCATTAATTTGTACAAATTTTTTTCGAAATCGTTTTTCGTACACGTTCTAAAGTGTGTATTGAGTTCGATGTAATCGCGGAGCCAGGGGAATTGAGCAAATTGTAATACGCGATGTATCTTTGCGATACGAAGACCATGGCGCGTACATTGCTGCAGATTGCGATAATGAATGACATACCGCTTCTTATCGTATAACGTCGCGAGAAGTTTATCCTGCCGCGTGCCGGGTGGTTTATCGCGCGTCGGACAGAAAGGTCAGTGTCGATTGTGCAAATGATGCGGATACTCGAGATCGACCTCGAGAATATAACTCATAGACGAATCCGGAGCGATCGCGCTCGCGTCAAAGTTCTCAATGTCTTCCATCCATCGAAATTCGGCATAGGCGGTGGACACATCGCCCATCCGTACAGATTATTTACGTCAAAGTACATCAAATACGACGACGGTTTCGACGGGTCGTACGAACGCATGTACTTGTTATTAGCCTGCGCGTATCTGCCGGAATATTGACTGAGACCGCCGCGTATACCGCGTTCGATAAACATAACCATATCGATGTCGGTGAGCAACTCAAATTTTACGCGCATATGTTTCAACATGGCATCCCACGTGAAACCTGGCAATGTGTAGTAATGCGTAGGATCGAGTCTATAATTTGCGACGCAACTTTCGCGGAAATTTTCGAAAATGTCGGCCAATAACAAGACATCGGTCTTGAGATATAGATCGCTGTATTCGCCGAGCGTTCGGATGGAGAACCGCTGCCAGACGTTCGCGTAGTCGTTCTCCGTCACCGTGTCACCGGTCAACGAGCTATAGAACGATTCGCGCGGTGATAGGTGCGTGTCCTGCAGCTTGTCCGCGCGATCCACGTATTCGTACGGAAAGACACCTTTGCGTGTCAACAAGTCAAAATCTTCGTTTGATACCGTGGAAAATTCGGAATATAAAATTTTTAATTTTTCTTTCGTTAGAAAAGATGCTAATTTATCAAGGCTGGTATTTAAAAACTTGTATGAATCTATGAACCGCAAGCGTACGTAATTTCGTGAATCTGATCTTTCGGTGGTATCTTTAACGTGTTTTGTAAACGAAATATATTTTTCTTTTGTTATCGGAAGCACGTCGATCCTGCCCTCGAACGCCGTAGCTATTTCCGTGATGATAAAGTGCGCGTCATAACCGGATAAGTTGTGAAATACTATGGGAATGCAATATGAATCTTTATAATTTAGATTACAATTTGAGTGCGCGGGACCACGGTAATGACCGGTAAGATGGCAATGATCGCGTACCCGCGTGTCGTCCGACGCAAATGATTTCTCGCAAATGTGACAACGCGTCGCGCTACGATATGCCTCCCACTGCTCTCTCGACAACGTTTCCATGGGGACATTCGCGGATAACAGAATTTTTACTTGATGCGCCAAATCTTCGAGTTGCCGAACGAACCACGCAACGCAGTCTTCGCCGCGACGAAATCGATATATCGATAACGCGTCGTCGTACGAGTATCGCACGTAGTATCCGATGCTAAATACCTCGTGCTGCTGGTAGATGTACGATGCGTCTTCCCTCTCTGCCGATTCCGTTCGCCGTAATACGCACTCCAAGTCCACGTAAACGATGAATGGAAGTCGTTCCTTATTCGTGTGGTTCTTGAATTCGAGCCACTTGTCGTCCTCGCTCGGCAGTCGGATACATCGTTCATCGCAATCGTTCATCTTTTCGCAGTCCGTTGTATGTGACTGCAATCTTTCAGACGAACTGAAGTAATGTAGGCATCTGCAAACGGAAAATATGATTTTTTAATAAACAATTTTATAAGAGAATTTTATAAGAGAAATAATAAAATTTGTTAAAATACATACCGGTCGCAAAAGTATTTTTTGTGTTCTTTTTTACTCAGTTGCGAGCTCACAAGACGGGACAAATCTTTAATGTACGCGAAGTTCCCCGCGTTGTCGTCGCGCGGATCCTGCACGTACAATAGATTTGCGTGCTTCTCCATCTTCCTTGATGTCAGCCGTATCGGGAGAATCTCCTTTCCTCGAAGTCATAAACGTTGATTGAGATGTCATTGATTCGTTCAAACTTCTTTATTTGATCTAACGTCATCGGAAACGTAATGTCTTGCAAATTTAACACTGCCGTATAATGCGGATACGACAATTCCCGATTTGTATTCCTTTCAGCCGAATGCAGAGCCGCGATCACCGACCACGCGAAACACGCATTGTCCTTGGATCGTACATTGATCACCGCTCGCTTTAACATAATTTCTCGCGGTAATTCGATGTAACATCCCGCGTGCATTGGATTATATTTGTTCACGTTTACAGTCAAATTTAGAATTCGCGACAACGCCCATCCACTGTCGCGTTCTTGGAATTCTTCGAGCAACGCCAACGTGGGTTCGATAACGTACTGCTGGTACCACTCGTCCAAATTTGACACTCGAAAGAGTTCACTATTTTTAGTGTTTATACTTTTGTTCGCGCGTTTATCGCCCGTCACAAACTCGCCGTTAAATGCAGTGTTCACTTTCACACTATCATGTCTTTGTACAATGTCTCGCACTCGCTCGAGCACTACACCACCAGCGTCTTCTAAAAATTGTCGCGGCTCGATATAGTCCACATTGATCACCGCACCAGTCAATATATCCGGCTTTCAAATGCCGTATCGATTTCTCGCCAAGCGAGAGATCCATTGTCTCTACTAGTGCTCGCGTACTCACCACCAACGTACACGAAACTTTCTAGTTGTACTTTTGCACCCGCGAGTCGCGCGATCCTCGCCGCAGATTGTCTATTTGCAATGGTGAGTCGAGGACGCTTAACACGGCTAAGTTCCTCGAGTTGTTCGATGCACTCCTCACATCGTTGCAACCTCCAGCAGCTCGCGTTCCACTCGCTCTAGGTGTTTCATATTGCAAAATCTTGATTCTTTTAAATTGTTGTACTGTCTCATCAAAACAATTTTACATTTTTTTTACTTTCTTTTTTTCTTTTCTCTATAGCTGCTTTAACTTGAAGCCAATATATAAAGCGTTGTATTTCCGACATGTCCGGAGATTGATGAGAATAGATCAACCATATATGATTATCCTCGCTTCTTGGAATTATCTCTGCTACTTTTTGCCGCGAGAGAGGTAGTATATTGTATGTGTCCTCTATAATGATAATATGTGCACGCTTCCAGAATTATTTCCGCTCTCTCAGAAGGAGTGGAGAAGCAGAGAGTCGAATTGTAGCGTCTCTTAACTCTTGGACGAGGAATCGGGAAATAGGGAATTGGGGTATAGTGTCTCTTTATAAAATACACCGCCACGTTCACTGGTAGATGAGAGATTGAATCCCATAACGGAGAACTTGGTAATTCTTCCAATGACCTTTCCATATTGTTTTTATATCACATCATACTCTTCCACGGAGCACTTGCATATGACTCGTTCACAATGTTGTCTTTTTTCAATTTGTGCAAATTGGGCACATGTTGCATGGCATTATCACATGGACGGACTGTTGGCAATTGGAGCAAAATCGACTGTTTAGCGCATTGAGAGTATTTATCTCGTGCTTCCTAATGGCATACAATACTCCAATGTCAGTGTTCGCCAGACGAACCATGCATTCGGCACACAGAGTTAGTGCACCACCCATTGAATAATAAAATTGTATTGAACAATACTTTTTATTATTATTCAACGCAAGGAGTTCCGAACGGGTAACAATTTTTTCTGCATAATCCGTAAGGCCATTACTTTGATCACTTACGTAATTGCTATCGTCAGACAATGCGTGCTCTTCGTCTTCAATATCAATGTCAATATTGTCAATATTGTCAATCTCCATTTCTTCTTCATTTTCAAACACTTCGTCCATTATATTCACAAAGTCTTCATCATCCATATTAAACACATTTTCTATATTTAACACATTATCCATTTTCACCGTCAACTATTTTTTTCACACACATTAGACTTCCATCTACTGTGATCCTGCACACCCCATGACCCATTATATATCATCGACAATTTCTTTGTCCCTTTGTCCGGAGCATCATCATAGGTCTCCCCAATTTGTTTATAGCAGCCGGAGTATCGGCGCTTCTCTTGACACGCCGCGATACGTACGTTAATTTCTACGAAGAGCTATCTTTTCGCGGGCTCTTCCTAGAAAAAAATTTGAACGTCATCGCGCTCCTTTGCGAACATGTCGCTATATGTTTGATTGCAACAATGAAATTCTTAGAAAAAAGGGGGAAGGGGGGTATTAACCATTAGGTTTGCCATGTCAAAAATTTACGCGATCAGTCCTCCATCGAACGATCTGCGACAAAAACGGTACACCGCTCCTCCATCATTCGAACAACACGCAATGTATTCCGCCAAAGGAAGCAGCGCATCGTACAATGGCGAAAAACAAAAGAAGGAATGTAACGCGTAAGTTTCAACTGCATTTTTTTAATTTTTTTCTCTTTTTTCCAATATTGTGCAGTATTATATATTTAATTTCCTCAGTATTTCGGTGGAGCGTCGCGCAGTGCGCTTACTGAGCAGACGTTACACTCTGACGGCCACGGGTTACAAATATTTGGAAATTGGAATCAACGTTGGTCCACCGAGCTACGGAGATCGCTCTGGGAGATCATCAGGGACAGGAATTGATACTGTCTCTCGAAACGTGGAAGGGACTCTACGAGCAGCGATGGAATATCTATAAATTGCTGCTAAACGATTACAAAGACAATTTTATAAGCGTCGGACCGTTAACTGTCAGAATTAGTCTGATGAACGACGTTACACTCGTACGTCTTGAATCTTTGAACGTACGCGTAACGATGATCGAATCGACGTTACGTCGAATGTTTGCTCTGAACGAATATATCGATGTGACGTTCGATCGACTCGTCAGATTCGTCGATACGATCGATACCAAGTATACGCGATTCTCCAACATCACGTCTATTGTAACAGATCCCGAGGAAGTGCCGAATGCGATACGCGATATCTTCGATAGATGTCGATTGCGAGCTGTTAGCTTTAGTTTTTAGCGTATAAGAAAAAACATGTGAATAAAAAAAATTTCACACTTAAAAATGTATTCAATTTGTTTAAAAATATAAACATATATAATATGCAAAGAACATGTATTTCTTTCATTTCTTTCTTCCCCACCATAAAATAATTAGAAAAATAACATTCGCCATAAGAGAGAGAGAGAGAGAGAGAGCCGCAACGGAAGAGATAATAGATATA